GAAGCCCCCCGTTCAATTCTGGAGCCTAGCAGAAGTCTGGATCCCCCAGCATAGAGTTTCCTCCTAGCCCAGCATCCTTTTTCCTCTACCTGTCCTAACTGAAAGCCCTATCAGTGGTGGAGCCGATCGGTGACAGGGAGCCGCAGCAGAGGGATGAAAGAGCCACATGCGGCTCCAGAGCAGGTTGCTGACTTTTGCTCTATACAATAATTAAAATGTATTTCTGATAGGTAGAACAAGGTTGGACACACCTGCTCAGCTAAATGTCTTACCCAATATGCTAACTATTTTTTTTTTGAAAGGCCAAGCCATTTCCCTAGAGGAAGCAAGCACATTATTTTGCTATAAAAAGAGCAATGAATCTCCCAACACTTTAAAAAGGAGGCAATTGGATGCATCCGCCATCCTTTTGGAATGAGCAAGAGTTGTCCAACGTGATTAACAGCATGCAAAAAAAGACAAAAAGGACAGAACTTGCTCTAATTCCAGTTCTTCTCTGTTGCTTGGTCTATTTGCATTGAGTGATACACATAATACAGTCAACACATCCATTGTTAGTCGGTTCCTGCCTCGGCTTTGCGTAATTGCTCACAATGGTGAAAACCCACTAAATAGCGCACACACGCACACACACATACAGCAACAAGAAATGTGGTGGTAGGTGCATGGTTGTGCCTTTCAGAGGAAAACAACCCACATTCCTTAGCGTGGTTTTTGAAATGCTGTTGTTGTTTTTTTTCCTGCAGCTGATCTCACCAATTTCATAAGCTTTGGCTGGAATAGAACTTCCTTGATTGCATATTTTGCTTACCGGTTTGCATTTGATCCAATATTAGCTGTTTAGATTTCATTTTAAGTCTGGCTCTGGGTCCTTTTATGGTGCCTTCAGACAGCAGCGTTCTCCTGCTTTTTTCTTTTTTTTTAAAAGGGCTAGCTGATAATCGGACGTTGCCCGTGGTATTTATTTGTATATATATAGGTATAATGGTAATTTCTAAGGTTGGATTTTCCCCCTTACCAGAGGGAGCCCACTTGTGGAGTACTGTGAAGTCGTTACCATGGCAACTCCACTGNCACTCCCACAAAGGAGGCCACACCCACAGAGTAGATTCGAAATTTTTTTGAAACCCACCACTGTACTACAATTACAGTTCTTTAAAAAATCTTTAGATAAATCAGTTCAGAAATACATTATTAATTCTTGACAAGAAATCTTTGCTTCTAGAGTACTGATTTTTCAAACTGTGCCATAGTTCCAAACGAGTTCAGGCAAACAAGCTCTCTTGTCAGTAGCAATTTCACGTTGTTGCGAAGGGCAACCAGGGATAAACGCGGATCGTATTTAAAGGAAGCTTCTCAAAGCGGCTCCCTTGCAAATGTCCTAGAACACAACGGGTGTCATTCCCATCCATCACAGCATCGCTGGAGGTGCAGGATAAGAGCCGCAACCTTTACACAGCTGAAAGGTATCGCATCCAGCATGACAGTTTCATTCAACATCTGCTCAAAATTCTGAAGAAACAATGCCCTCTAGAGCAAGGGTCTCCAACCTTGGCAACTTTAAAACTTGTGGACTTCCAACTCCCAGAATTCCCAGAAACATGGAGGCTGATTGGAAAGATGGTTTATTGATGGAGAGGACCACGTGGCTTTGAGGTCCTAGTGCAGCTGAACACATGGAGTGGAGAGTGAGAGGTACTGTATTTATACTGTCTCTTGGGCTTTGAACTTGAGCTTCCTGTTCCCTGTGGCAAGGGCATGTATTCTATTAGTTGCTGTCAGACTCCCATGGGACTATGCAGGGGTCATAACTGGTTTTCTCTGGGAGTTGACTTCCACAGTCTTAAAATTGCCAAGGTTGGAGACCCCTGCTCTAGAACCTACCTCTGGTTCTACAGGGCAGTATAGATTATCTTCTGCAGACACAGGGGGGTTTCAAGAGAACCTCCAAAACAAGCATTAACTTGAATACGCTTTCATGCTAGTTCAGCGATATGTGGAGAAAGCACCAATGGAAAAAAATTGCACAGATACATTTAAGAGAATCCATATTTTGGTCTGTTTCAGGGGTGTCAAACTCGATTTTATTGAGGGCCACATCAGGGTTGTGTTTGACCTTGGGGGGCCGGGGTGAGTGTGGCCAGGGTAGGCATGGCCAGCTCGACGTCACGTGTGTTGGAGGGCCCTGTGGTGTCCCAAGCATTCTGACAGCAAAAATGGGCTCCCAAACTCTGTTTCAGTTGCGACAGCCTCTTGCAACCCTCTGCCAGCAAAAATGAAGCTCAGGAGGGCCACAAGTGGCCTTCCCAAGCTCCATTTTCACTGGCAGAGGCACTGCGGGCTGGTTCTTTGCTGTTTCCAGGGCGACCCTGCGGGCCAGATCTCCTGCTGGCCAAATCCAGCCCACGGGCCTTAAGTTTAACACCCCTGGTCTATTTCATAGAGTATGGAAGAGACCTTAGAAGTCTTCTAGTTCTGTGCAGAGCAGAGATCTTCAAAACATTCCACACAAATTGTGCTCAGCACCTCCAACGATGGAGCGTTCATGACTCCAGGGGGCAGACTGCTTCACTACTTCATGGATCTCACCATCAAGAAGTTCCTCCTTGTTTTCAGTTTGAATCTCTGTCGGCATTCCCCCTCGTGGGTTTTCTCCTACCATCAAGCACGATAGAGAATAAATTCCCAACTTTTCTCTCCATGATGACGGTCCTTCAAGTAGAACGTAGAACATGGAATAATAAGGTTGGAAGTGGGCTCGGAGATCTTCTAATCCAAACCCCCTACCCTGCTCAAGCCTTATAATATCCCAGACAAATGGTTGTCCCAAACTTTTCTTGAAAACCTCTAGTGATGGAGCACCTACAACAACAAAAGGCAAGCTACTCCATGGATTAATTCGTCTCACTGTCAGGAAATTTCTGCATAGTTCTAGGTTGTATCTCTCTTGAGTGATCTTCCACCCGTTACTTCCCCTCCTGCCCTCGAGTGCTTTGGAGAATAGGTTGACCCCCTCTTCTTTGTGGTAGCCCCACAAGTACTGGAAGAGTGCTATCACATCACCCCCTAGTCCTCCTCTTTGTTAGACTA